CCCAAAAATCAGGAGTTAAAAACATCAAAGATTTTTTCCCAATAAGCCTAGTAGGATGTATTTACAAGCTTCTCTCAAAAGTCCTTTCTAAGAGGTTATCAAATTGCCTTCACAAGATCATTGGTGCAAGTCAGTTGGCTTTTATATCCAGGAGACAAATTACCGATGTTATTCTAACTGTTAATGAGGTGGCGGATGATATCTACAGAAATAATAAAAAGGGGGTCCTTTGCAAATTAGATATGAAAAAAAACATTTGATCATGTTTCGTGGAATTTTATCGATTATTTGTTGGACAGAATGGGGTTTGGTGAAAAATGGGGGAGGTGGATTCGCACTTGTATTTCTACGTCTAATTTTGTTGTTATGATTAATGGTGGCCCCTCCAATTTCTTTCAGCCTTCAAGGGGCTTGAGACAAGGTGACCCACTATCCCCATTATTATTCATAATTGTTGTGGAATAATTAAACAAACTTATAGAAAAAGCCAAAACTCTATAGCTTCTTAGGGGTATTGAAGTGGGTAATTTCGGCTCAAAAATTGAAATCACACATCTCTTCTTTGCCGACGACACCCTTATGTTTTGTCAACTGGACGTCAATTTCCTTCTCACTTTAAGATGTATTCTTCTATGCTTTCAAGCTGTCTCTGAACTTAAAATTAACTTGCATAAATCCGAACTTGTGGAGATTGGTAATGAAGGCAACGGACAGTCTCTGGCTCAGGTTTTAAACTGCAGAACCGCCAATTCACCCATCAAATATTTGGGAATGCCTCTCGGTGCTCATTACAAAGATCAAAGAAGTTGGGATCCAATTATTGAATCTGTTGAGAATAGCTTGCTGGGTGGAAAAGAAACTCTCTCAAAGGGAGTAGTTAACACTCATAAAAAGCACTCTATCAAATCTTCCGATTTATTTTCTCTCTGCTTTGTGCATCCCTAAAACTATTGCAAAAAAATTGGAAGCAATACAAATCACTTCCTTTGGGGTGATGAGGTCGACAAAAGGAAAATCCACTTTGTCAAATGGGAGGAGATCAAAATTCTATCGCTTCTGGAGGATTGGATATCAAATCTGTCATCACATTTAACCAAGCTTTACTTAGCAAATGGACTTGGCGTTTTTGGAACAAGAAAATAGCCTTCGGAGAAATCTGATCGTCCATAAATGGTATGGGGAAGACTTGCATAATTCCAACTTTCTGGATCACAGCATACGTGGCTTCAGTCTATGGAAGAGTATAAAACAGGTGGAAAATTCTGTATCTAATTTTTCCAGGTGGTCTATAGGTAATGGTATGAAGATCAGATTTAGAATCTGAACAAAAACGGTACATTTTCGGTTAAATCTCTCTACTCCCAGTTGGCTGGGCATAGAGGTCAAAAGTTTCCAGCCAATATTGTTTGGAAATCTAAGGTTCCACCTAAATTTCTTTTTTTTTACTCGGGAAGCTGCTAGAGAAAGCATTTTAACTTTGGATAATCTTCAAAAGAGAGGTATCACTATGGTTAATAGATGTTTTCTATGTAAAACTGATGTGGAAACATGCTCTCACCTGCTCCTTTGCTGCCCTTTCTCTCAATCCCTCTGGTCAATGGTTCTAAACATCATGAATTTATCCTGGGTTACTGACGGGTCTGTTAAAGTTGAACTTTTTGCTTGGGAAGGCCAGTGCAAGAGAAAAACTAATCATAAAATCATTCCTTTGATTATCGTTTAGATTATTTGGAAAGAAATGAACAATAGAGCTTTTGAGGGAAAAGAATCTGATTTTGTCGTTATCAAGGATAAATAGTTGCACCTTTTTAGTTCTATTGTTCTTGGGCACAACTTTGATAGTATTGTTGATTTTGCTTCTATTGTAGATACTTTTACCGATCTGTAAATCTTTTTTATACGGTTGACATCCCCTTGGTGCCTATATTTAATATATTTTCTCACTTTTATCTCAAAAAAAAAGAAGGCCATATTCATCTCCAAAAGAATCTCGCAAGCCTCCCTGAGACATTGGCTTTTTTATCTCATCTCATAATATCAAGTGATATTTTTCCTATCCATAAAGTCGTCCCAAAGGAATCTACATTAAAGTGATTCCAGTCTCTTAACAACACTCAGTAGGATAGTCAAAAGGCCATACAATAAATGGTAAGATTAGTCAATGTACTTTCAATGAGTGTGAGTATCCCCGTTTGGACAGGAGGTTTCTCTCCTATCCTACCAACCTCCTCTCACATCTTGCCACCACAGGATCTCACATCCTCACATCTTGCCGCCACAGGATCTGACATCCTCACATCTATATAATTGCCTCCCCAAGAGTAACCCAAATACTTAATTGACAGCTCCACACTTTTACATCTCATGAATCCTACCAACCCAACAGCATCTCTCTCCTCACCTAGTCTCACTAACTCAGACTTAGTTAAGTTAATATTGAGGCCAAAAACTACTTAGAAATCCAATAAAATGCATTTGAGATTGAGCATTATTCACTCATCTAGTTCACAAACCAATAAAGTGTCATTAGTAAAAAATAAGTGGATTACCTCCTCTATATGCTGACCCTTGTCTATTTTTAAACCTCTAAATAAATCGAACTCTCTGGCTCTTAGTAAAAATTTATTCAATGCTTCCATGACAACAATAAAAAGTAGGGAAGATAATAGATCACCTTGTATGAGACCTCTAGAGGACTTGAAACTTGTAATTCAAGTGGAATATTCTCATTCCTTAGTCTATTCTAGAAATAAAAGTAAGAAACTTGTAATTCAAGCAGACTGTTATAAGAACCTTGCTTTAATCTCTACATTTAAGATGCTTAATGCAACCACATTAGCGACCATATAAAATAGCTTGAATTGACAATATAAGTATTTTGGTAACTTAAAAAAATATTTTTTCTTTTCATCATGGAGCTTATAACTATTCAATCTTATATAATGTAGACACTATATTGTTCGCACATATTCTTCTAGGTTGACCTTAGTTGTATACTCGGCATCTTCAACCATAAACAAGTTATAGTCAAGGAAGCAAACAGAAAAATCAGGCTTGTTAGGGTTAAGAACAAAAACTGCTATGTCTTCTGAAGAGCAAATGTTTCGAGATTCCTGAATGTCATTTAGTTAAAGAAAGACTAATAGAAGTCTAGTGCAAGAGAGAACCTAAATCAACAATTAGATCTAGTGATGTTCAACTCAAGAATAAACTTTTTTTTAGATAAAAGTAGTAGCTGTATTAGAAAATGGCACCAAGGGGATACCGCCCATGTACAAAAATATTACATATCTAAGAAAATATCGATAACAACTCTAATGTCATTGAAAGATAATAAGTTACGACCCAAAAAGATGGAGCCAAAACAATGTAATCATTTATCTTTAATATTTATAATAGTATCTTCATTATCATCAAAAACCCTATTGTTTCTTTCTTTCCAAATAGTTCAAAAAATTTGTAAGGGGGAAAAGGTGATTAACATGATTGCTTGAGTTTAAACATTTCCAAGCCAGGAGTTCATCACGAACGGATCCAGCCACTACCCAAGTAATACCAATCAAATTAAAGATCATGGATCAAAAATTTGAAGCAAAGAGACATCAAAGAAGAATGTGATTACAGCTCTCGGTGTCATATTTGCATAAAAAACACCTGTTAACCATAATTCTTCCTCTTTTCATCAAGTTGTCCAAGGTCAGAATCTTCTCTTACTGGCTTTCCAAGCAAAAAAAGCAATTCTAGGAGCTCAAGAATAAACATGAAACACAAATTTATCAATAGGTTGATTTCATCCTGCCTACAAAGTTTCACACTGCTAACCAGTTGTATATTCCCATCATTTCACTATTGAATAGCATGATTGAGCGAAGAGTTTGATACAGTCTATTATGATATTTCCTATTGTCCTAGTATCAGTCCATCTTCCTATTTGGGAAATGTTACGTGGCAAACATTATAAATACCTCAGTATCTCACTTCTGAGAGAAGGCCAATTATTCAACAGACCAAGTATTTGAAGATTCTCTCTCTGGTTGTGTAATAAATAGAACTCTTAAGTGTAATAGTTAACAATTCTTAGGTTTGATATCTATGTTTTATTCCTTAATTCCTAAATAGAAAAATCACCCTAATTTATCTTTCATCATCTAAAGTCTACAATGTACTTTTAGCCAAAATTTTATGATTATTCCATCAATACCCCATATGATACCATCCTTTGAGAGTACATCTTGTCATATTTACATAACTACTTAGGAAATCGAAACAAAAATAAGAATATACACCTTCCGGAAGCAAAAAAGGGAAGGTTAGAATAAGTATGTTATGTTTGGTTGTCGAAAACCTTTTCTAGTTTTCTATTCCAAAAAAATAAAAATGACAATAATTTTTAGTTTCAGAAAATAAAATAAAATGGAATCATTTTTGGAAAATGAGTTTAGTAGGTAAAAAGGGAAAAGTGTGTTTGAAAATAAATATCATCTAAACATCAAAAAAAAATTCTTGTTATGTTCAAGTCTTCTAATATTTTTAGTTTCATTGTCAGAAAAGCTAATACATTTTTTACCAAGCAAAAGTGTTTTCCATTCATTCCAAAAAGGTGAAAGCATAAAAAAGTAAAGACCACTAGTTAGTATATAAGAACATTTTCGGTTACCACTTTCTAAATTTATATATTTTTTATTCATAAAATGATGCAAATTCATTCACAAGAAAAAGCAAGACTAAAAATTAGGGGAAAGTAAAACCAAACAGAACTCGACGGATCAACATCAATTTCTAAGACTCCTCCTAAGAGGTAAGTAAATTGTTTGCCATAAGTGTGGACAGAGTGGACATATGAGCTTCAAATGCCCAAAGAAGAATAACTTGCATATCGGAATGAAACCGAAAAAAAAAATGAGATACAAGGAAAAGATGATGATTATGCATCCTATGAGGATGATGACTTAGCTCATGCATATCCACAAAAGCTAAAGTGGCTAAGCAAGAAGAATCACCATGTGTTCGAATTGCTCAAGATCATTCCTCCAAAGGTAACTCTTGGAAGTTCCATTCAAGGAGAAACTTGAAACACCAATCAATCAACATGTTGATTTCATCCTCCTCCCAAGATTTCACACTCCTAAACAATTGTATTCATATTATTTTTGGTATTAAAGAGAATATTGCACGTAAAATTTTCTAGCTTTTCGTGGGAAATCTCGATGAACAATTTTTTACTTTATTTGCTACTTCAAAACTTGTGGTCGAGTTTTCTCCAACTAAGCAAAAATGATGCATAACGGATTAGTTCAAAATTGCCTAAACAGACTAAAAATCCTAATTCCATTAAATATAAATGTAATATACTATTTAAGAGCGTAGCGTTATACTTTTAGAAACTTTAAGATTCCATTCTTAATTATTTTTATTTTTCTTATTTCGCATCTGTAGTACTATTTCCTAATTCTACAAGTATTAGTGTGCATTACTTTAATCCTATTTAGTAAAGTTACTTGGAGAACATTATAATTTTACTTTTCGGAATAGACTTTAATTATTCATGAGGGTTCTTTAATTTTCTATTTGTGTGATGTAACTAAATCCTTAATTTGATACTTAAGACTTGCAGCTAAGAAACCTTTAATACGACTTTTACTTTTTAATCCCCAAATACCTAAGTACACAAATTAACCTTACTTTGTCCTACATTGGTAACTGTTTTCAAACAGAGCCTAAAACTTGGAACACCCAGATCAATCAGCATCATTACAGCCTCTGTACAGTATAAACCAGTAGGACAAAAATCACATTTAGGAAAATAAAGCACAAAGAAAAAAAGAGTATTTCAATAAACTACCTGATTAGGTATATGTTACAGATTCTTCCTCGTGAATCACTTCGGGATCCTGCTACCTTTGCTCTCAAAATCCTTTTTCAATCCGAGCCAAGGCAGCTAGGGGTTCCTAATCTTTAAACCGGGTGAAAACCTATGAAGTTTCTGTCACAACAAGCAATTCCAATCATATTAGAACTTCTAACAACATAGAACAATCTACTCTTGGCACTCTAAACCTGATGCAAAGCTGAATTTCAACTGACACTAGCGAATTGAATTCAATGGATCACATTCCCGTCCCTAACCCAGTGATATATCAAACATAATCAAAGACCAGAAGAAAAAACTCAAAGATTCAAATAACAAAATCTAAAAGCAGTTAATTTTCAAAATGAACCGGAGTATCAGGAAAGAATTTACGAGAAAGTTATGGATCCATCAAGAAATCATTCAGATTTTCCCAGGAAAATCAAGTGAAAGGAAAAAAAAAATGTAAACGAACAAATAAAGAATACAAGAAAGAAAATTAGCGTTTCCACTAAAAGAATTAAGCAAACAAGAAACCAAGAAAGAAACGGACGTAGAAATTTCAAGAAAGAGAAGCGGAAGAGTGAGAACCTGAGAGAGAGAATCCAGTATGCGTTTGATCAGCGCAGTGAAGGAAGGAGTTGATAGAGAGTAAGAAGAGTACGGAGATTGAAGAGAGAGAGAAGGAGAGAATGTAGGTCGAAGAGGACACTGACCGCCGCTTGCAGGGGTGCGCGGTGGCGCTTTCCATCCACCAGTGAGGGCGTAGAGACAAAAGAGGCGGAGATCGGAAAGAGCGACCGTGGGTCGTCGTCTTGCCTGGTTAATTCCCGAACTAATTGATTATGGGCTTTAGACCGTGAGATTTCACAGGCCTTATCAGATCACCGCCATGGATTCTTTACAGTGTTACGAATACATAGCCCATTCACTATTAGGGTTGGAAGATTCTAGAGCTCAACTCAATGCGCCCAAATATTTTTTAATTTATATTTTGTTTCATATTTTTTATAAAAATATTAAATAAATTTGAAGAAAATGAATTGAGGATTTCAATGAATAGTAAATATTGTAACACACAACAAATCTAAATTTTATTTGAGAGTGTATATTATTTTAAATTTTGTTGATAATTTAAAATTTATACATATTTTAAAAGATTAAAATATAATATCATCCTATATTATATATATGTATATATTATCTAACGTTTAATTAAATAATTTGATTGATATCTTATTAATTACATTTACTCGTCGTATTAAATATTTAATTATTTAAAATATATAATTATCTTGTGCAACATCTATTTATTATCAATTAAATGAGCACGTGGTATTAAATATTTAACTATTTAAAATGTATAATTATCTTATATTATATTAATTTCTAAATACTATAATTAAAAACGTTTCAATAAGAAACTAAATATAATTCTTCAAACGAGTCATCTAATTATCTTTCGCCGTTACTAAATTAATTAAATGGAATTCGCAAACAAGTATTTAACATATTTCAAATTATGAGCTGAAATGAAATTTATGCAACAACAATTTTGATGCTTTTAACGAAGTATAATAAATTCGTATGTTGAATGATCGACATATCATAACCCCGACCAATTAAAATTTTATCCATAATGCTCTTAAGCCCAAGTGTCTTGTAGTAAGCGAAGTCTCGCTGACATTCATAATGGTTCTAATAGACATCCTTGGGTTAATTGACAAGCTCCCCTTACTCACTAGTGTAACCTCAACAATGATAGTTTGGGCTCGTGGTACATCGAGGGAGACAAAAGCAATATACTTGATTATAGATGCTCATGGCACTTGGGTTATTAGCTTCGTATGCAATATTAGTCAAGATGACTTTATAATTGTGGAGTTTCGAAGATATTACGCGTGTTTATTGGAAGGATCGCAATCAATTATCTATTTGCATTGAAAGGTGACTTTATAATTGTCCAAAATTGATTCAAATTTGTTAGTGTTACTTTAAAACTTGCTGATCTCTAACCCTTTTATTGCGATTAATGAAGCATTTGCGATGGCACTCGAATAAATGGAAGAAAGGAGGAGAACCTAGGACTTATTGAAGTCCTTATATATGTTGAGCTCTCTATTATCTCCCATTTCGATATATGATGTAGCTCAACATCGACTCACACGGGCTGTTACTCCGGGCCTAATGGGCCAAATTTGGTCCGATGTTTAATACCATTTCATCTATTGAAAAAATAAATAAATTCATTTGAAGTTTACCTTAAAAGAGCTATAAAATTTTGTCCCGCAAGAATTTTTTGTTTTCTCTGTAAATTTACTGACTTCTTTTCCCATATAAACGACGACGCTTTGTACAAGCTCTCTTCTGTTCAAAAGAAGAAAAAAAAAAAAAACATACAAAACCACCAAAACAAAAAACAAAAGCAATAAACATAAGAACAAAAGCCTGTCAAAACTTCCACTCTCTTCACTCCAGTTCAAAGTCCCAGCCCCATATTCCACGTGTTCTCCTCGATCCTCCTCTTCTTCATTGGCACCACGTGGTTTGCACGTGCCACCGGCTCCAACCCCAGCCGCAGTTCTAGCTCCACTCCGTCTTCAACCCCACCGCTTTCGTTCCCCGTCTCCGCTCTCAACAGCAGCGATGCCTCCGCCGTTTCCACGGATACCATGCTCTCCGTCTCCTTGCTCTCCCCGTCTACCACCGCCACTTCCGACTGGTGACTCAGCGACGACTCATGACTCGTTGATCGATTCATCAGCTCTTGATCGGCGTAGCACTCGCTCCACTTTCCCCTCTTCTCCTCTTCCCGATCATTTCCTTCCACCCGAACCGGTTCAGCAGCTGACCCAAGTTCCGGCTTGCTGGGTTTCGGCTTCACAACTCTCCTGGCCCTGCACCGGGTCTTGACTCGCTGGTGGTCATTGGAAGCAGCGGAGTTCTCGTCCTTTGACACGTGGCGAATATCGTACGCCTTCAACGGAGGTCCGTGGCCGTTAGCCGCGGCTTCCGAGGCAATTGGAGTGATCGGAGCTCCTTTCAGCACAGCTTCAACCGCGGCTTGACAAAGTTGCCAGCTTCCGGACCATAACAAGCCGACCGACCCGTAAATCGGGTTTACGATTCTTCCGCATGCCTCGTACAACAACGACCTGAAGATCGCTGCAGTCACCAAAAAATCAAAACATTAAAACAAAATTAAACTGGGTCTTTAAAAAATGATGGTAACGATCAATGGGTGTTTGAGCGTTTTGGTTAATTACTACTAACCAGGACGAAGGTGGTCCGGGCCGGCGTTGATGAGGTTCATAAGTCCGGCACGACCGTAGAACTTGGCGAGGAAAACGGTGGCGTTTGCTTGAGATTCAGGACTCTTGATCCACTGCAAACAAGGCCTGATGCTGCAATTATCACTGCACCCTTTACGCAGTACCCGGCACCCATTACAACTCATACGCATTTTTATCGAACCAGAGAAGAAATCAAGGAAAGAGACAAAGAAATGTAGGTTTAGGAGATGAGAGAAATTGAGAAGAAGGATTCGAATTTGTACTGGAGAAGATGAGAGAAGAGAGCAGTAAGTATTAAAGAGATGGAGAGAGACAAAGACGAAAGAGTATATATGTTTTAATATGGAGCCGCTGGGTTTACAGGTACCAGCAACGCAGCTGTTTTTATGTCCAAAACACTGGTTTCCACGTTCAAGGAGGTCTTCACAAACCAAAACAAGAAAACAAAATTTACAATTAAAAAAATTAAATTAATTTAGTAATTAAAAAAAATATTAATCAAAATTAGTGAGGATTAGTTTCATCACTACTCTCTAACTCAGCGCGTGCGGTACAACTCCCGGAATGTGGAATCCACTTTGGTGCTGTCACCTGGCGGGTGCATTCGCGTGACCAACACAAACGGACAAGAAAAAAGGCTTCCCTTTTAAAACGGACGCAAGTTGCAAATCCCCGTTTGGCTTCTTCCCGTTACCAAACTACCCTTGTCCGGTTCCAAAAATTACGGCCTTTTTGCGGACAAAATCAAAAGAAACGTAAGGGCAAAACGGGTAATTCAGAGAAAAAGCCACGGTTTTAGGGAAGAAGAGTTCGGAAATGACATGCAAGTGGGTCCAAATTTTGAGAAAGGAAGAGAGCAGCGCGTGGCAGACACGTTCAGGTGTCAGAGTGCGGTCGAATCGCCACATATTGTGGGAGTGTGAGTAACGGGCCCACCGAGTCTAGAAAATTAAATTAATTTAAAAAAACGCATTATTTTTTAATTTAATAATAAAATAAAATAATTTTTTTTTTTAAAAAAAAAAAAAGCTCCTGGTTTTCGGGAAGTTTGTGTGTGAGAAAACCGCTAATGTGAAAACCGGCGACCGGTTTCCGGGTTTGGGTGTTTGGGACTGTGGGCGCACTACAAGACCAATTAGCCAACAGTTTTGGAAGTCGTCTTCTTTTTATTTTTATGCTTATCTTTCAAGACAGTACCTCAACTTGGGATTAATTTAATTTAATATTTATTAATTAAATTGTGATTAGGTTGGTGGAATTAATTAATTAATTAAGTATTAATTAATTAAATTAAGATTAAGTTGGCTTTCCACCAGATTGATTGGCTACGTAATTTTTTAAATTAAAAAAAAATAGTTTTCTATTTTAATATAATTAAACAAATTTATCCCATCTTATTTTTTATATTATTTTAAAAATATTTTTGCACGATTAATTTTTATTATTTTTTTAAAAAAAAATTCGCTTGGTGGGCCCACAACCTCTTCGCTTAAATCTCAATAATTATTATATGAATAATAATTAAGACGTGTCCTAATTTAAATTTAAGATCTTTAAAAAATTATTAATTACTGTTGATCTTATATGATTTAGATTAAAACTTTGATTTGAAATTTTATTTTATAAATTTTTAGCAAAAATTATTTTTAATCATGTCGTAATTAAAGATATGATATCTTATTTATTTTTATATTAATTTAGTCCATAGTTTATAATAAATTAAAAATTAAAAATTATTATTATATTTACAAAATTTAAATAAATTATTAACCCAAAGAATTTCTTAAACGCCACCGTATAATTAATTATTTAAGGTAAGGCCGCGAAGAATTGGGAGAACAGTGACCCGACTCTCTATCTTCCTTAATAATTTAATTAATCCACATTAATTTCAGTAATTAAGATTTAATTAATTTCTATTTGTTGATCACCATTTAATTAATCAAATGGCAAATCTATTGTGGAACTGTTAGATTGCTTTGTGAATTATTTTATTACTCGTTAATGTTTCTTTTCGTGGCCGTCTTCTATTAAAATAACACTTAAACCATATTATATACATTAATTAATGCCAAACTAAGTTAATATATAATATCATAACTCATCACTCGAAAGAGATTAAGAATAAAATATTGGTGTATATATATATATATATATATAACCCACGTACTAACACGTATTACCCAAAACCTATATTAATTATTAATTATTAAATTATTAATTAACATGCTTTAATTAAGGATCATTGTATTTGTACACTATCTACAACATGACATGACATATATATATTATTTATTAATTAATTAATTAATTAATTAAAACATGTTTATATCAATATACGTATATGTTCTTATATATATATAATATGAAATAAATAGTGAAATTCCGTATAAATTGTGTATAATTAAAAAAAATATGTATATATATATATATTTTTTTTTTTTTGGGTGAAGGGGAAGAGACAAGTGTAAGTGGGTCCCGGGGCCATGCAAGCTGAGGAGGTAGCGCGTGGCAGACACGTACAGGAATGATATGCCACATAATCATTCAACTGCCACCTTTCCCCAATTAGTCTCCATGTTTGTAGGAGTCTTTCTTTCGCTCGCCCAAACCAATACCACTTTTCATACAAAACAATAGGCCGCCATCCTTGGTTTTGCCCTTTGTGGGCCCGTCTTTACATAATATTATATATACATATACATATACATATACATATACATATATAGATTCATGATTTGTTCTAATATTGAAGTATAGATAATCGTGGGACCGTATGACCTTAGTTTCTAATAATTATTATAATCTTTGTGAACGTTATTAAACTATACTAGCAATTATGTTATAAGATATTGAATCGGATGAGCCCAAAGTCAAAGGAGAAAAAGGGCATTCGAGCCCACCAATGAGAACACACGTTCTCAAACGTGTGTGTGTATATATATGTGTGTGCGTGTGTGTGTGTGTGTGTGTGTGTGTGTACGTATTAGGGTAAAACATGCTTCAATGAGTTGTAGAAGAAGATCTACTTCAATCCCATTTACTTAAAAGTATAAATATATGTAGTTTCTATATATGAAATGAGATATCAAAAATCATAGAAATCGTCATCGAACTATCGTTTTTTTTTATTGAATTCCGTTATTTCTTGTATTTTTTTGTGTTTGATATTCATTGCTTTTATAGATTTTTATAAATCAAGTCTCGTATCAAATTTTAGAGTATTTTATTGCAATATATCGAAGTAAATAGTAAAAAAATAAAAACTCAAATCAGATAACTTCTTGCCTAAATTTATCGTCTTCCTTTATAAATATTATAAATCTTTATAATACAAGTATCTCTTACAAGATCGGTGCCAACGAGAGCTCTAGCGGAGTGATTGTCACTCAAACCGCTAGACGCGGGTGACAACTACCCAAAGGTAGAATTCATGAAATGTATTTTACGAATCAAAAATAAATTAAGATTTATAAATTAAAGTCTAAAAGAAATGGTAGATCCAATAAATTTGTTTATGAAATACTAATTACGCGTTATTTATTAATATTAAATAATTTAATTATTTATATATTAATTACTGATAGTAAAAAATGTATTTAGTACGTTCAGATTCTGAATTATATTTAGGATTATTTGAGAACTTCAACTATATTAATTATATTCAATTTTCAACACAAAATATTTGTTCATATTTTAAAAACAATGAATTAATTTAATTTTACACAAAAAAATAAGCATTTATATGTTATTTAAAACATAGTTAGAGATAAAAGAGTAATAATAATTAATTAAAATATATTATCTTAATTGTATCCAATAATATAATATTGATTATTTCTTTTTCGATTCCATGACTTCACGAGAAAAAGAAAAAAGAAGAAGAAAGAGTTTTGGTCAATTCCAACACAAAGTTACCTTTGCTAGTTTAATAGGAGACCATAGTTTTTAGCTACATGTTTGGAAGTTTCTCATATAGAAACCAAGTCAAATTGGGGGCACTTTATATATATGTATATATTTATATATATATATCCAAACAGAGTCTTAAAAAGATCAGGCCAAGGGCCATTTTATGAGCCGTCAGTCCAAGCCCAACGAGCAATATAAATTCAAACAGATTTTTGAAACGATCGGGCCGAGTAAAATGGACCATTTTGTGAGCCGCCGGTCCAGACTCAATGATCAGTCTTAAAAAGACCGAGCCGAGTAAAATGAGCCCTTTTGTGAGCCGCCAGTCCAAGCCCAATGAGCAATATAAATCCAAATAGATTCTTTAAAAGATAAGGCCAAGTGAAATAGGTCATTTTGTGAGCCACCGGTCCAGACCCAATGATCAATTTAAATCCAGTCTTAAAAAGACCGGGCAAAGTGAAATGGACCCTTTTGTGAGCCGCTAGTTCAGATCCAATGAGCAATATAAATTCAAACAGATTCTTTAAAAGATCGAGCCAAGTAAAATGGACAATTTTGTGAGCCGCTGGTCCAGACCCAATGATCAGTCTTAAAAAGACCGGGCCAAGTAAAATGGGTCCTTTAGTGAGCCGCCAGTCCAGGCTCAATGAGCAATATAAATCCAAACAGATTCTTTAAAAGGTCTGGCCAAGTAAAATGGATCATTTTGTGAGCTACCGGTCCAGACCCAATGATCAATTTAAATCCAGTTTTAAAAAGACATGGTCAAGTAAAATGGGTCATTTTATGCCGCCGGTCCAAGCCCAATGAGCAATATAAATCCAAACGGATTCTTTAAAAGACCGGGTCAAGTAAAATGGACCATGTTGTGAGCCGTAGGTCCAGACCCAATGATCAGTTTTAAAAAGACCGGGCCGAGTAAAATGGGCCATTTTGTGAGCCGTCAGTCCAGGCCCAATGAGCAATATAAATCCAAATAAATTCTTTAAATGATCGAGCCAAGTAAAATGGACCATTTTGTGGGCCGCCGGTCCAGGCCTAATGAGCAATATAAATTCAAAGTCTCTTAAAAAGACCGGACCAAGTAAAATGAGCCATTTTATGGGCCGCCGGTCTAGGCCTATTGAGCAATATAAATCCAAAAAGTCTTAAAAAGACCGGACCAAGTAAAATGGGTCACTTTATGGGCCGCCGGTTCAAGCCCAATGAGCAGAGAGTTTAGGCTCCGTTAATAACTTATGGCCAATCCAGTGAGCCCAACTAAATACTCTGAATCCACACTATATATGTACACATATATACGTACGTACCTATGTATGCATGTATGTAAATATATTGCATGTTTCTGCTAACCTCATTATATAAACTGTTTTATTATTTGATATTTATTTTGTTATATTACTTATTTTTTGTGAAATAGAAGGTTTTAGTATATTTTCATGACGTAATAATTAATAATTTAATTTTAAAAAAAGATAAATTAATTTATCAAAATTTTTTTAAGTCTTTGTCGTCACTCACACCATGCTTTATTTCCATGGTGATATTTTTTCAGACTTAACAACAAAAAAAAAAAAAATTAAAAAAAAAAAAAACTCCACCACCATCACTCATTTCCCATCCTTGGATCAGATAAGATTACTGACATGCCGCCACGTGGCACCCTCATTGTGATAAGGCTTGAAATCAATATTGTGGTCATTATAACGTAACGTCCTCTCCATTCTAAATCCAACGATCAATTTTAACTCAACACCACCTTTTCCAATTTCTGACCGTCCGATTTCCCCTTACCCGTAATGTACCATTATATAATACCCCTATCGTGGCACTACTACACCATCCAACTGTTAACTTGCTGGGAAGATAAGAAAAAGAGAGTTGAAGTGAAGGAGTTGCAGGAACAATGGCCTCCTCCATGATCTCCTCCGCCACCGTCGCCACCGTCAGCCGATCCACCCCTGCTCAGGCCAGTATGGTCGCCCCCTTCACCGGTCTGAAATCCACTTCTGCTTTCCCCGTCACCCGTAAGACCAATGCTGACATTACTTCTCTCGCTAGCAATGGTGGAAGAGTTCAATGCATGCAGGTGAAATACACTACAACCATTTATGTTTTTGTGGTATATATTGTTATATGTGTATGTTTGTATGTAACTTTAAATGGGTATGTAAGTACAGGTATGGCCTCCAACTGGGAAGAAGAAGTTCGAGACACTCTCATACTTGCCAGATCTGAGCCCAGAACAATTGGCAAAGGAGGTAGATTACCTTCTCCGATCTGGGTGGATTCCTTGCTTGGAATTCGAGTTGGAGGTCATTTTCTTCTCCCTCTTTACTTAAATTATGATGTGTAATTGTATTTTAAGATAGACCCATAAATGTAAATCCATGAATATTGACGATTATATATGTATATATATATAGCACGGATTCGTGTACCGTGAGAACCACAGATCACCAGGGTACTACGATGGAAGGTACTGGACAATGTGGAAGCTACCTATGTTTGGATGCACAGATTCTGCGCAGGTGTTGAAGGAGCTTGAGGAGGCGAAGAAGGTTTACCCTAATTCGTTTATTCGGATTATTGGATTTGACAACAAGCGTCAAGTGCAGTGCATCAGTTTCATTGCTTACAAGCCACCAAGCTACTAAGATCTTTACGGAACCCTTTTGTTTTAGGGGGTTTGCTTGTTCATTTGTATTTAGGGTTTTTCTTTTCCTTTTGTTCTTGGTGAGATAATTTCTCTGGTGTTTTTGGGTTATGAGTCTCGGGATTTCCAGTGGAAAAATTGAGAACTTATGAATAAAGAGTAGTTTTCTCATGTCAATTTAGTGTTTACATGCATCCATTCATATATATATATATATTACATATATATATATACACACACATTTCTTATGAAATCATCATCTCAATTTCAATTTGATCAGGAAATGGAAATTTAAAGTATTTTTTCAAAGATTAACAAAAATTGAAACTACATTTCTTATGAACAAAATTTACATTTGCAAGTACCAAATGAATTCTTCCAAACTTTTTAAATTTATTTCAAACGACTGTAACCATTCGAATTAGAAAATCACAAACCAATTTCGTTCCAATACGTAATATGTGACAATAAAATAAATGTAATTTCGAACTCGAGAGCAATTTTGTTCGCTTAATTTTGTTTTTTTTTTTTTTTTTTTCGGGTAAATTTTTTTTTTTAATAAGATTATGACAAAAAGATACAATATTGATAAAAACTTATATTTATGAAAATAAATAAATAAACTTTTTTCAAAAGAATACATATAATTATAATTTTAATTAATTAAAAAAGCTATAAATATATTTATTTTTTTAATTTAAAAGAAAACAAGGATCTTATAAGTTTTGAGGTTCATAAGCCTGTTGATTTTGGTCCATCCACTACCAAAATTTAAATTTTCATTTAACACAAGATTATTATATGTTATTTTATATTAAAGAGAAAGAAATTTTGTGACCACAAATTGAAATAGAGAAAGGTTATACATATAATACATACATAAGATATGTGTATATATATATATATATAATTGTATTGTTGGGCCCATATGCATGAATAGAAAGGTACATTTGTGGCCTTCCCTAAAATTAGATAGAATTATAGATAAGTCCTTTCCAAATATCTTTATATTTTAGCATTTCCCATCAATCATACCCATGATTTTATATATATATATATATATATATGTATATTTTAAATCAGTATAAGTCTATTTCATATTGAACCAAGAGCCAATCATAATACATACAATTTATAGCAGTTGGTCAATACTAATTTCAATATATAGATTTTGCATTTTTTGAAAAAAATATATTTTGTTCTTTTCCAACTTCTAAAATTTAGTTACTTGTTTTATATAATAAAAAATATTATTTATAATTTATATATTCAATGTGTAACAAAATTAACTCTACTAATTTAATTTAATTATAGATTTAAGTTAACATATTATTAAAAATGAGTTAAAAAATCAATTAAGTAAGTTAAATTAAACATAAAATTAATTTAAAATACTATTAATCTATCAAATTTTTTTATTCATAAGCTGTCAAAATAAAACTTTTTTTTTTGTAATTATTATAAATGCTGATGTGATAAAATAATATCTCCACTTTTCTCAATATCAAATAATTAAAAGCAGGATATTTGAACTTTATTTAAATTCTTTATTT